ATATTACAAATATTACAAGATAGGCACATAGTTTTTAAAATATAAAATTCACTCCAAAATTTATCCCACCACATAGACGTAAATGCAGTTCTGCTCACTATGCTACCTTCACTCTTCAAAAAGTATTAAGAACATCCCCCCTACAAAGGCTTGAAGAAATGTTATGATTTAAATATTGAATTAAGTCTTGGTGGGCCGTGGTGAAGGAAAAGTTGAGAACCATTGTACTAAAGAATTATCTTGGAAAACACAAGAACAGTGGTGGAAACTCAGACACCTAGAACCAGACATGATTAATTTTCTCTATTCCAGGGCTAGATATTTTTTAAAAATTTCTCCAGAGAAGAACACCTGAGGAAATTACCCAACCAGGGAAATCCATTACAAGAATAATAGTATTTAAACAATGCAGGGAAAATGAGAAATATATAACCAAGAAATATTCAGAGACAGGCTCCCTTGCAATATGTGATTTAAAGCAGGGGTTCCCCATCCTGGGCCATGGCCCAGTGCTGACCTGTGGCCTATTTGGCACTGGGCCATGTGAGTGGCGGGCTGGCATGCACAAGTTGAGCTGCATGAGCGTGTGCCTGCTGGCCTGCCACTCATACAAGTTGAGCTGCACATGTGTGCACCGGCCAGCTGCTCAAACAGCCCAGTTCCCCTCTCTCCCCTTCTCTCCCCCGCCAAGCCACAAAGGTTGGGAATTGCTGCTTTAAAAGAGTTAAAACAAGGTATTAGAATGATCAAGCCATCACCTGAGGACATCCCAGACTGTCACACTTCAGTTCTTATTCTTTCAGTAAAGATTTTAATTGAGGCTACATTTTAGGTATTCTGGTAGGTTTAGCAGTTCTTAGTCTGACTGATTATTTCAATCTACTTCTAGGACAGTGGTTCTCAACCTGTGGGTCGGGACCCCATTTGGGGTCGATCGACCATTTCATGGGGGTCGCCAAGCAAGACTGTCCGCCATTTTTTTTGTCCGCCATTTTTTTTTTCCTTTTCCGGCGGGTGCCTTA